ATAATTTTATTATTGTTATTAAAATAACGGCTTATAATCTTCGAAGTGCTGGTAACGATCCAGAATTTACTGGTGATTTATTAACAAAAACATCTGAACGTACAGTAAAAAGATTAACTCTGGACTCATTAAATAATACTACCGAACAAATTCAAACAATGTCTCACACTGCACAAAATTCAGCGATGATGATATGTTATCGTGAATGTTTATCAAATCTGGACAAATTCAATGGTGGTGAAGATCAAAAAGTTTCACAATATATTAATAATATTGAAAGGATTGGAAGAATGATTAATGCAAATGATGATATTTTACATTGTATGTGTACAGCAAAATTAGATGGGGAAGTGAAACGCTGGTATGAAGACAATATGACATTAACCAAATGGGAAAATTTAAAACCAGCATTATTAGAAAGATTTACAACATCGGATTCAACATCGAAAATATTTGAACAATTGAAAGAACGAAAACAAAAATCAGATGAAACAATTACATCGTATTATGATGCTGTCATCAAATTATGTCGTGAGTATGATTCATCCATGTCACAAAAAATGATGATATCGTGGTTACAAAATGGAATTAAAGATTCATTGAAGACTCAAATTAAACGACAAATGAAATTGTTACCTGAATCAGCACGAACAATTCAAGCATTCTTAAAAATTGCTAAAGATGAACAAGAATTACAAGAAGAAGATTCTTCTGAACTCCAAGCAACACAATCTTATTTACCATACATTACGAATACCGTATCAACAACAGCACAACAAATACGAAGCAACTCCGAAAGGATACCAACATTAACATACTCACCATCACGACACACAACATATAAACAATATGCTCCATCATCCAACCCTTTAGATTCATTAAAGTCACAACAAAAAAATTACAGTTCAACTTCCCGACCATCACCTATTTTACATAAACGGGAATCACATTATTCATCAATTAATAATTCATCACGACGTCAAGACGTAAATGTTAAACCTTATTCACCTACACAACATGATTTTCAACGACGACCGTGTGGTGTATGCCAACGCATTAATCATCGAACAATTGATTGTTATTACAAGAAATTATATGGATGTTTTAAATGTGGACAGTCCGATCATCATATACGTGATTGTCCACAGGTTTTCTACTAGCTGGAACCCGTGATGGTGGTCACTCCAGTAGTAAAGAAAATCCATCAACAACAAATTATACATCACCAACATCATCAACTCCTATTCATATAAAAGTTCAAGTAAATAATAAACAACATCAAGCTATTGTCGATACTGGATCTGCAGTCACCATTATTAATCAACAATTATTAAAAACAATTTATCATAAGGAATTTACTTACAAGAAGAAATTACACAAATCAGCCAATTGTTCATCGATTAATATTATTGGTGAAATTCAACTTGAAATTAAAATACAAGGACATAAAACATTAATTTTAGCAGATGTTGCAACTAATCTTATTACTGATTTATTACTTGGAAATGATTGGATTACAGCAAACAATGTTATTATCGATTCACCACAACAATGCATTTATCTCACTGACAACAAACGAAACATTCTAGTAACAGCAACATTCGTTAAACCGGCACACCTTCAATTACCAGTACTATTAACCGATGAAATTACTCTTCCACCGCACTCCGAAAAATGCGTAAACATCAAAGTATTATCACCAACAATGAACATAACCGAAGCTTTATTTGAACCAGCAGCATATTTATATTCGAAACAAATGTTACTTACGAATGCATTAATTAAGTTAGAAGACAACAGAAGTCAAGTTATGATTTTGAATGCAAATGATCGTCAAAAGACTTTATCGAAGAATACATCATTAGGATATATTACATATCAATCCAAAGCCAATAACTATCTTATTTTACCAGTATTAACAAAAAATAAAACTGATCGATCAACACCTATAACATCGAATTTTTACAGAAGGAACAACTCTTTTGTGAGTCGTTCCTGGATTACTTCAATGAATAATAAGAGGAAAGTTCAATCTACGAACTTTACCTGTCAAATGAACGACAATATCGATCCTGAACATCAATGTTATGTATGTCAAGAACAATTTTTATCACGGAATGATTTACAACAGCATTTACGCCGAACATGTTATCCATCAGAAATGCGAGAACAAATTGGAAAACTAACTCAACACATCGAAAACGACAAACAACAACAACAATTACAGCAACTTTTATGGAAACATGGTAAATTATTTGATATTCGTCAACCGTCCATCATCAAAGCTACAGTACATCACGCTATTGAAACTGGCACTCATCCACCAACTTATACTCCACCATATCGTGTTTCTTACAAGGATGAACAAATACAGAGAGAAGAAATTGATAAATTACTCAAACAAGGAATAATCGAAGAATCTACATCACCATGGTCATCACCTATAGTATTAGTGAGAAAAAAAGATGGTTCTGTTCGATTTTGCATTGATTTTAGGAAATTAAACAACATTACGACCAAAGATGCATTTCCTATGCCTCGAATCGATGATATCTTTGATCATTTATCAGAAGCCGAATATTATACAACCATTGACTTTAAATCTGGTTATTTTCAAGTGGGACTTGACCCAAAAGATCGTCCAAAAACAGCTTTCTCAACTCGAGATCAACATTATCAATTTACAGTATTACCTCAAGGTGTTACAAATGGTCCACCAGCATTTCAACGCATCGTCAGTCAAATACTTGGACCTACAAGATGGCAACATTCATTAGCTTATCTTGATGATGTTATAATATATTCACCAACATTTGATCAACACCTTATTCATCTCGATGATGTTCTTAATCGATTAAACAATGCAAATTTCCGCCTCAATGTAAATAAATGTCAAATAGCAAAAACAGCAATTGATTTTCTTGGTCATCACATCGAACATAGTAATGTTAGACCAAATGCAGACAATATTCGTGCATTAATAGAAACTCAACAGCCAACAACAGCGAAAGAAGCTTTTCGATTTGTTAAAGCTGCTGAATATTATCGTAAATTTATACCAGGATTTTCTACTATTGCACAACCTTTATATAAATACGCACCTACTACAAAAGAACAACGATCACAAAAATCACAATCTACTCTCATTAATTTATCAGATGATGAAATACATGCATTTAATGAATTAAAACGAATATTAACGCATGACTTAGTATTACGTATTCCAGATCAAAATTTATCATTCAAGATACAAACCGATGCATCAAAGATTGGAATTGGAGCTGTTCTTATGCAGACTCATCCAAATGGAGATTTACCAATTGCATATTTATCGAAGAAACTTACAACAACACAAATGAACTGGCCTGCAACAGAACAAGAATGCTATGCTATTATATTTGCAATTGAAAAATGGCACAAATATTTAGATGGACGTTCATTTATAATTGAAACGGATCATAAACCATTATTACCATTTAATACGAAAAAACAATTAAATTCGAAATGTGAACGATGGCGTTTGAAATTACAACAATATCAATTTACTATACGATATATTAAAGGAAAACATAATACAGTAGCAGATTATTTATCTCGTTCACCTGTAGACAATGCAACAAATGATGAAGACGATTATACTCCAACGACATCCAGAGCAACACAAACTGATAATCATATGCAGACACAAATTATTGCACCTATTATGACTCGTAGACAAGCAAGACAACAGCTTAATGAGAGGACTGATCATCACGTACCAGATCAGACCTGTAATGGAAATCGACAATAGAGGAATGTCGACATATCAATCGACCATTCCTGTATTCCAAAAGCCGAGCAACTACCAACATCTATCCACAACACCGACTCTGATAGAATAATACCATTTACATTGGAACAAATAAAAGAATTACAACATCAAGATGATGAAATTAACAACATCATTCACAACATCAAGAACTACAAAGAATATTTTGTTAAAAATAATCTGTTAATGAAGAAAAGATTCCCATCAGTCCCCGTTATACCTAAGGGACGAATCCGTTTAGACATAATTAAAATTTATCATGATACACCTGCAAATGGTGCACACTTTGGTCGGAATAAAACCATCCACAAAATTCAACAGCGTTACTTTTGGCCAAATATGGTTTCTGATATTCGTAATTACGTGCAATCATGTCTACCTTGTTTAAAAAACAATCCACTACGACAGAAACCACCAGGTGCTTTAAAACCGATAAAACCTCCAGAAGGAGTATGGCAATTACTTACAATGGACTTCCATGGACCGATTACACCAACAACAAAAAATGGCAAAAAATATATTATTTTATTAACTGATGTATTATCCAAATTTGTAATTACAAAAGCAGTGCGAGATTGTACTGCATTAACTGCAGCACGATTTCTAACTGAAGATGTTATTCTTAAATATGGAACTCCAAAATGTATTCTTACGGACAATGGTACACATTTTACTGCTGACATGATGACTGAATTATTCAAGAAGATAGGAATTACACACTTATATTCAACACCCTATCATCCGATGACCAATGGACAAATCGAAAGATTCAATGCGACGATGGATTCGAAAATAGCAACATTATCAAATGAAAAACGTACTAACTGGGATGAACAATTACAATTCGTTACATTCAACTATAATACCAGCATCCATGCAACAACTGGGCAAATTCCATTTGAATTAATGCATGGACGTTCACCGATTCTACCCTTTGATCAACAACAACCATTAGTTACACTCTCCCAAGATCCAGATCATAAATCGAAATTAAATCATCATTTATCAACTTTAACGGAACAAGCGAGAACGAATATACTGAAACGACAAGAGAAATATAAAGAACGATATGATCAACATCGCACAAATCCACATTACAAAGTCGGTGATCTTGTCTTAATTAAGATATTATCTATGCGTAATAAATTCGACGCACGATATGAAGGACCATTCAGGATAACACGACAACTTAGCACGAAAACATTTATCGTTCAACATGTGAAGACACCAACATTAGTGAAACAAGTGACCAGCGACATCATGGTGTCAATCATAGAACGTCGGAAACAGTAAAAAAAAAAAAAAAAAAGGAAAACAAATGAGCAAAGAAAAGATGAAGAGGAATGGAAAATCCATATATGACAACATATATGTACATTTATTGGATTATTTACAAGGAAAAAAACAAAACAACAGTTTAAATTATTACCTATAATAAATATTAACAATGAACATCAATACGAATTTTATTAATTAAATAAATTATCCTATATGTCATTTATGGAATTTCATTATTATGATACCACACCTGATCGGTAGAATTAAATTAATATATTGATCACATGTACTATTCGATTGTACAATGACTTAACAGAACGAAAGATATTAATGATATACATATATACATATTATGTACACAGACAAATCAATTATTATCATAAAAAGGAGAAACACGTTATGTTTTTCCTGATTATTAGTTATAATGAGAAATCAAATCGACAGAGGACTCTTTAATGGAGTCCTGGATATATGTACAATTTTTTTTGTTTTCTATTTCAGATGTCTACTTCTCATAAAAATCGTTATTATTCATCTACATATCATTATCAAGAAAAATCTTCATCAATTGTTAAATCACAATCGAATACAACACATTATTATCGTCGTCAACATCATTACATATCTCCATTAGAACAACTTGATAAACTTACACAAAGATATTGTCCAGGAAAATTTAAAAAAAATAATGAACTTAAGGACTTATACAATAATGGTAACTGTGGGAAATTTGAATTACCTTCATCGTTATTTAAAAAATTTTACATCAATCGTCAAACATCAATTAGTACTTTAAATGATTTAATCGATTATGCTTTTCATATTAAAAATTATACAATCGATACGGAAGATCAATTAAATAAACCACCAAAACCATCTGATCCTGCACTCATTCAAATTCAATTTATTCATGAAAATGATCCATCAATTATTTTATTAATCGAAGTATTTTATTTACCCCCAGAAAATTCATTTACATTTAACAAAATCAAACAATTATGCAAAATTATATTTTCACCAAATCATATTATTAATTCCTGGGGTGATCCAAAAAAAGAATTAAAAAAATTTTTACGATTTAAATTATTTGATGCTGATGATATTGATTTTATAATACCAAAAAATACCCAGAATATATTCAAAGGTTGGTTCAATCGTACGTATCCACAATCAATTCATATTAAAGATGGTGCTGGTGATCAATACTCATTACAATCAGCAATGTACATAACATTCAATGAATGGCTTGACAAGAGAATGACTCTTGCAAATTGGGGTTGTGGTATTGATTTATTATTAGCAACTTATATAACAATGAATGATTATGATGATATTAAAGATAGGAAAATTTATGATGAAAAACAAATACGTCAATTAATGGAAACTTATGCAATCAACGACTGTTTTTCAGTTACAAAGCTAAGTCAAATAATGAAACATTTTGAACCATCTAA